GAGAATATTTTGTTTTTGGTGTATTTTGTTTTGTTTTTAGTGCATTTTGTTTTGTTTTTAGTGTATTTTGTTTGGAAGTCGGTTTTTATTTATTTTTATTTAAATGACTATGAAAATGTAAAAGCATAAAAACATAAACCAATAATCATTAATGTTATCCGACTTCCCGATATTAACAATGTATTTGTAATTTGAGTTAGTTAATGTGACTACTTTTAACTTAACAATTTGAGCTATTTTATTTTTACATGAGACAATATTAAAGTCATAAATATGAAACTTTTTCGAGATCATTTGCAATAAAACGAATTGGTATGTCGGTTACAAAACTTGCAAGTCCACTAACGTAAAATTAACACATAAAATAGTTACTATAGTTAGTGTTATAAAAAAATTACTAACTTTCATCAGATAATTGCTCACATTTCATGTCTTCCGTTTTCATTTTGATAATCTGCAACAAATCCTTTTTTTTATTATTAGTGTACTTTAATTTGATGGAAACATTAAATGTAAATTAGTACATTATCGATATAATTCCATATGTAGTCCCTGTGCGCGCTGTACGCGGTGCGCGCGGCGCGTGTCGGCAGCGCGCACGGCCAGGGCCGGCACATGCGCGCGGCCGCCAGCGCGCAGTACTGCTCGAAGGCGCACAGGAACTCGCACCGCGGCAGCCCTTGCGCATTCACTTGCACCCCCAGAGTCGTCTCTAAAAACATATATGATAATCTTCTTCTTAGTATCGATTTCTGCGCACTTCCCACAAATGGTGGTACACTTACCGCAAACGGAATCCATACTGTAAGCTGTAAAGTATTTCCATATAGAAAATGTTCTCTTATCGGCGACCGAGGCCAAACGCTCCACCAATATCTCGCTCTGCTTCGAAAATACCTTTACAAAAGCCTGCAGATTTTTCGACGAAAAGTTGGGAGTTAACAATTTACGACGCGGACGCCAGATGTTAACTACGACAAAAAAATTTGGAAATAACACTTTAGTACAACTTATAGCAAAGGCATACATAAGGCTATTTACCTGGGGCGATGACGCTGCCATTACCCACTAGATGACTAAACACTTCCATGAGGTAGCCCTTCTCTAGACAGGTTTTTAAAACAGTCTCCGCTATCAGAGGATCCGAAATAACTACAAACAATACAAGTAACAACAACAACGTTACAGGAAAGGAAAGAAATCAAAGTATGATAAGAATACTACCTGTATAGTAATCATAACCTAACCATAAACTTGTCATTCCATTTCGTTTCGTGGCCTCTAAACCAAATTTTTTGAATGCGGTCATTCGACCTGTAAATATAGATCATCTTTATCACATTTTTACGAACAATCGTAAATGAACAATACGAGTTAATTAAATCGAAAATTAAATGTTAAAACGGTGCACAAATGTTAACTAACACCATATTGTTTTATATCTTCTTTATTTGTTTCAATACACAATATACACAATCAATTACAGATCACAAAATAATGTTTTTTCTCTCGTATCACGTTTTAGTGGTTTTACACATTTCGTTTCGCGCCCAAATCTCTCTTTGGTTTTTTATTATGTTTTTAATTTGGTGAATTGTCGATGGTTAGTTCTTCCAACAACATTTAATTTAATAATTACCAATGATATAAAAATGTTTCTTATAAATCATGTCATATTTTAAATTATTATCCTTTTATGTCATAATTATTTTACGAATGCAGCGCATATTTATTAACGCCATCTAGCGATCAACATTGACTAACCGACTTTGAAATTGACGACACAAAACGAAATAATGCACTTTACCTTCCCCGTCCCCTGCGAACATGTACCCGTGGCCTATGAACGGCAGCGCGGGATATCTACTGCCGATTGTCTTCGATAGATTTAGGATTCGTCTCAATTTCCATCTCTTATACAGTACCCAAATAAGCCAAACAGAGATTATTATTAAATACGAGGAAACCATTTTAATACGAAAAAAATGTAGAAACACTAATTCGGTTTGCACGTCAAATACGAAATGTGTCAGATCAGTAATTAAATAAATGTTGAGTTTTACTAAGTTTGTGGATGTTTTAGATTTGGAGATAAAATGATCACGTTTTGCAGTTAATTGCCGTAGTTAATATTCATTTTACATTCTAGTTTTATGTTTATCCAACAAAGTAAAAATTTCAGAATAACTGTAGTGAAATACTAAAGTAGTTTTTATGTGATATAATTTTTTTAACGGGCTTGTATTGGTGAAATTTTGGAAAATGTCGACGTTTTTTTAACTTAAAAACGTGCCATCTAGCGCCATTTTCAAACGTTTGTTGACTTTTATGAAAAGTTTAAAAACAGTTATGTTTCCAAGATGTACCAATAGGTGGCGTGGGTTCAAATTGAATAGCTATGAATTCAAAAGATAGGATAAAATTGAAGAGAGGGGTTATATCTAAATCAACTAATATGATATGATGAGAATGTAGTGGTCGGATTATTTAGTGGAGCTTAACATTTTTAGCAGAGGAGTAGATGCAGGGGCCCTGCATCTACATGCATCTTCTGGCTTCTAAATGTAGTGCTACCAGTAGCTTGTAGTCTATTGGCTTCACCTTTGAAGATCGCCAAGTCGTTTGAGACGAAACCCTGATGCCAGCAATTTGTTTTTTTCCTTTACTGTACGCATTTTAAGTTCAACTTTTTAAAACCTGTTTCGTTGCTTACTCTTTTAGTCTGCAACGTAATTCAGAATTCAACATAATTCAGAAGAAATGTAATATCTTTGCAAATAAAATATTAACAGATAAATATGGGAATTCTTTAGTGGCTCCCAGCTCGATGTTTCCAGCCATTGTTAGAAAGTGGCAGAAATGTGTACAGCGGGCGAAGGCGCGGGAGAATTTATCTGGCGCGACTCACCTTCCTCTGTCCTCGGGGAAATCACTAATAAACGAAAATTCTGCGTAGCGAGGTGCCGTTAACATCATACAAGTTTTATAGTTACATGTACACACGTGTTTTTTACATGAAACTGGATCGTATAAAAATTCTTAGGAAAAAAATATTTTTTTGTTAGAAAAAAGTCTGATACAAGTTAATAATTGAAATAAACCCTACCCTTAGTGATTCTCTTATCAGTGTTAAAGTAAGAAAGTGTAATGTCCAGCACGCATCTTACTTTTTCATAAAATAACTTCTAGATTCAAAAAACTAACTCTACGCCTCAAGCCTGAGCAAACATAGTATTTATTATACAAAATGATTGTTTTGCGTTTTTGTTCTTTTTATATAATTATTGTCGTAAATTAATTGAATCTGCGGCCCGACGCGAAGTAATTTTGTTAAGAAAACTTTTTTCATCACAACACCTTGAGAATCTCCCACCTCTGCCCAGTGGGGGCGAGGAAGGGGGCAAATAACATTATAATGCACAAAATATTCACGCAAATTTTGGCAACAAATTTAAATTTATAAAAGGACATAATATCTACATTTAAATTAACATTTTCCTAGACAATTGTGACTTAAATCAAACTTTTCTTGTTGTTCCTATTGTTATTGTACCTTGAATTTTAAGTTCATAACAGAAGATAACAGAGAGGGCCTAGAGTAATCTTTGTCTGGATAAAGCGCAGTGTAAGCCCACGGTGAGAGCGGTCGATACAGTGTTAGCTCACTGTATCACAACTTGAACATAACTGTAATTAGAACTGCTTGGAGGCACACAAGGGCAGCTATTTATCTGACATATATAATGTCTATTTCGCCTTTGTTCGACTTAAACGCATTATTATAGTGCGTGGAAATATTCGTTATTGCTTCGATAATGTTATTATGATAATGAACAAACTTATGGATAAAATCTATTGATCCGACAAAGAGACTATATGCCGAAGATTTTTTGAAAGATTGATTTTCATAAGAAATTACACACACACTAAGCGACTAACTGACTTATACTCGTACATATGTACTGTATAATAAGAGCCGAATGTAGTTTGTAGTTATTGTATCAAATTGTATGTGATCCTCTCCAAACAAATATTTTCATATTGAATTTGTCTGTGTCGGTCCGCGCCGATGTCGGACCTCAAAAGATTGCAAATAAGATATTTTAATGATTTTTTACGACCCCCGAGACTACGTCTGACTTTTGGACATTTTATATACATGCGATTGTCGATAAAATTGAAGTTGCTTTAGTTTCGTGTGTGGTCTAAAGTTTACGGATTTATTTGAGGATTTAACCAAATACCTTGTAACATAATCCACGTCTTATATAATACTCCGTGTGGCCCTCAGGGTTGTAATTTTTTGATGTTCTTCTTACTATACATTAAGATAAAATGATAAAGTTATTTCTTTGTTTATTTAAAAACAAGATTCAAGTAAATTTTTTTCTTACTTGTTACGAATAAGACATTTGTAATGATGTAATTGGAGTACATAATTCAATGTAGGTTTGAATTGTTTTCGTTTCATCGCTTCGATGTCAAGAATTATTGATCGCTGCAGTCTCACCGCAGTCTCGTCGCAGTCTCGCCGCAGTCTCGCCGCACACTCGCCGTAGCCTCTCCGCATCCTCGCCGCAGGGCGACGAAGATTTACTCTTACAAATTAAAAACATATAACGTTTTAATAAAATTGTGCATTTTTAGCGGCAGGAATTAACATTATTTTTAAAACATAAAAATGCAAGTTCAACATTGTAAACTTTAATAAAACAGTTTTATTGAACTGGTGGATTTAAAACAAAACATTTTAAGGTCGTCCCTTTCATTTGTTTTTAACTGGTTACGTTGTTTTTATTTTACTTTCCTTGATAGATTATTTGATTATGGTGTATTCATTAGTTCATTTAACTTGTTATTGCTGTATGTAACAGTTTTTTTTTTATATGATATAAGGTGGTAAACGACAAGCGGCCATCTGAATCCACCGAAATGAAAAGCGACCGCTGCCCATAAACACTGCCTACCCTTAATTGACGGAGGAGAAGACGCACATAAAGAGGACATTTCTCCTGTCTATGCGTCTCCTCCACCGTCAAATACATTTTTCCTTCCCATCCTTTCCTTTTAGTAAAGGGTGGAAAGGGAAAGGTACAAGAATTAGGCCTCCGGCACCACACTAGTCAGACGAAACGCGGAATGGCTTGGAGTGGACTCCACGCCTGTCTTCTGTGTGGTCGTGGTATTTCACCGGGCCAGCCGACCCATTCGTGCGAAGATGTTAAAGCGGGCTCTACCACTGTTGATGTTTAGTTTGTATGTAGAGCTAGTTTTCCGCACAGGTTGACATTGACATTTGCAGGTTTGTGAGAAAAGAGTACAAATTTGTGAATATAGCGGCAAGTTTTCACTCCCGAAACAAGTATTCACAGCATATCATTGTCTTTGTTATCTTAAAGAGAGTGAAAGGGAAAACAATAAGCGTTTGTACCTGCTTTTTTATTTTTGGAAAGATTATTATTGTTGTAATTACTGTGTTGTTTTAATATCACATTGAAGTACAGATTATCTGGTCCGACCAATCTGCAGATACAAGATAGTCAATGATCCAATGAAGTTGTCATGTTACTTCATAAATAAATCAAATATTTGCAGGACATGTTATTAATATTAAAGAGATTCTGTCTCAAAGTGGGCCTTGGGATCGCGTCGCTGGCGACCTCTGGCGGAGAAATCACGTATTCATTGACTCCAATAGATTACTTCATAATATCATAGATGAAACTTTTTTTGTTCTAGATTTATAAAAAATATGATGTTACGCCCTTTTTTCAATAAAATTGTACTAATATTAAAAATACGAAAGATTATAGGGATGTTTCTTAGAGTTTGTAGCCTAAACTGCTGAACGGATTTCGATGAAATTTGGCACAGATGTAGAGGATAGTCTGGAAGAACACATAGGCTACTTGCTTTCGTTTTTTTTTAATTCCATGCGGACGGAGTCGCGGGCGAAAGCTGAAAGAAAAGATATAATGAAAGTAAAAAGAAAGAACATACTTGATTTTATTTTGTAAGTTAACGTTTTTGAGTACAATAATTACTGCGATTAACGTTTAGTTATCGCTTCATTTAGTTGTTTGTGCGTGATGGGCCAACAATATTATGTAATGCTGTTAGAATATTGAGTTTCACTTCGATAAAGTATTCTGCGATCGGATTCAATGAATAAGTGATGAGATGGCGCTACCGTCGCGTCTCCGGCGTTGCTTCTCTTGCCACGTTAATACAAGAATTCGCTGTCATTACAATTTTAATCTGTAAATGCTAGCGTTGAGCCTTTCACCTTTCTAACACCTGAATAATATGGACATATCTCTTGACGAGACATCTCTATGAAAAAAAAAACATTTTATATTCAAGTTACGATAATTGAAATTGGCAGTATATCGTAAGTTAACGTGAAGAGTATTTATTTAAAATATCTTTCTTCTCGTATGTGAAATATATTTAACGACTTGTGCCTTCAAAAGCTATTTAATGTTTTAAAGGAGCTTTTTATGAGTTCAATGAATATCTGATGGATTTACATTATCGGCCTTATATCGGCCGCTTCTCGATTTTGTGCTTCGAATAACTTTTAATATTCATTAGCCTGCGCACCTCCTACCTCCCACCTCACCGCGCCCCGCTCGCAGCTTTAACTTA